CTTTGTGTGGTCCGTTTGTTCACCCTACTAGACAACAGAAAGCTCATTAATGTTCAAAACTTCCTTAGGTTCCTCTAAACCTCTATCCATCACAATTTAGACACTTCCTTACCAATCCATTGGAGTCAGTGATCTTCTCTCACCAAAAAATTAATTTCTATTAATGTGAGTAAAGATGCATCTCAAAAACCTACAAAATTATTCAGATTGCATGATCCCTTCAAAAGGGAATAAAAATGATACTCATGTTCACTGCCAGTGAGCCCCTAAACAGCAGAAAAAGGGATTACAATGAAACAGTATAAAATATATCCATATCTTGGATGTCACTAGTTCACTGAGTCCCTCCATGATGCTTATCAGCTCCTCATTATTTGATACCCTTATTAAACCCCTCCCACAGTAACCTGAAGATTAGAGAAATTACATAAATATTCTTTCTCCTAATAAAAAAAATTCCCATACACTGTCATGAAAAAAATCTTCATATCACCACTATAAAAAAAAATCTTAAGTAGCCATAGAATAGACAAAGCAAAATATATTTGTAATACTGTTTCTTTTTCTCCTCATTTTGTCTCAGACACACTGTATAACCTTGCCTACGTTTCCCCTTCACACTTCTATTTCCCCATATGTAACTCCAGCAATATAACTGTAAGTACTTTCCTCATAGGTGTTTTTAATTTGTTTGTGAAGTAATTTGAGATCCACTGACAGAAGGTACTAAAAAAAAAAAAAAAAAATTAAATATTTTCCACAGCAGGCACTGAAAAAGAAAGAAAGGCATTACTGCCTATCCCATATCCCACAGAAGGTAACGGGGAGTTATGAAACATTATGTCACTACAGGGAACTTTTCCAACTTACTGACCTATCAGGTTATTGCCCTAATGCACACCCATAAACTCTATTGCTCTCGTAAAGCCTCTCAGCTCCAAAGTGGTAAATTTGGAAGTCAAGATGCATCTCAAAAATGTTCTCTCCATGAGCTGCTTTCCTTTTCAGGAGCAGAAAACGAAGCAGGAGACCCTGAGCGACCTTGAGCCCCCTCTTTAATGGTGCTGAGCTGCTGCTTAAGGGGCAACATTATCGTGCCTGCAAGGAAGAGGCAGGAGAAATGTCCCTGCACATCACAGCAAACACAGCCCATTACTGGGACAGGGTTGGAATAAACCACAAATGAAGCAGCCAAAGCTGAGGAATAAAACATTCCCTGCACAGTAAAAACCGGCTGAAACAAAGTTACCCGGCGCAGAAAGGTCAGTGGGATTTAACTTTCCACTCACTCTTTGGTGTCACAGGTTTCCATTTGAGATGGAATTGTAACAAAAGGGATGTCAGGGAGCAGGGGGAGGATAACTTTATATCAGTTTTGGTTTCACAGCCTTGCCATGAATTAATTTGATGACGTGACAAACGCAATTGCAGGGTAAAACAAAGTATGTCCTTTGTGCTCTGTTCAGACCTCAAAGACAGAGCAGGACTGAGAGAAATCTTATTTACAGTTTCTCTGGTTTTAATATTTTCGAAGATTCCTGTTCAAAGCAAATCCCATATAAACATATGGGAAAAAAAAAAACAAACAAGAAAAAAATGTAATTGTTCAGATCAAATAAAGATGCGAACTAAAATCAAAACCAAGGAAGATTTATTAGGGGCATGTTTTTCAGGTAACAGGAGATGATCAAGCTGATGTAAGAGCAACAACAACAAAAAGGCTGTACATATTAGCAGTCTTAGAGTGGACACAGAGACTACAGTTTGGTTACATCAAATGGAAGCAAAGATTGCAAAGGATTCCACATGGTCTCCCTCTTGGAAAAACAGCCAATATCCTTAATAATTCCCTTTAAGCACAACCATTTTGTTTGTGCCCAACACACACAGTTCTATTAGAAAACATGAGTAGAAAGAAAAACAACCCAACCATCTGTCAGAGCCCTTGCAAGAGCAAAACACCACAGGCTTTGAAATGATGACTCAAATTCCAAAACATCCAAAACCCTAACCAGCTTCAGCTATCAGGGTAGTTCTACAAAAATCACACTTGGTATGTTTTTAACAGGTTTCTTCCTGTGAAAATTTAAGGGTCATGTTTCCACATATGTTTCTTTGAGAAGCAAAGCTGAGACATTTCCATGATCACATGGTTTGTTAAGCATCCAATATTGTGATGTTCAGAGAGAAGGTATGAGATCAATTAAAAAAAAAAAAAGAGGGGTGGGTGTGACAAAGACAGAAAATAGCATTGACTGGGTAGGAAATGGGTTGTGTATGCATTTATTGGTCCACTGCTGGCAGTGGTAAGTGCAGGTTAGTAATGCAAAATAATACAGGCCAGTTAGAGCACATTGTGCATTACTTATCCTCAAACCTGAGAGCTTTTATCCTTGTAGAAAATAAATAGAATCTTACACAAAAAGGTCAGTATAAGACAATGGAAGGAGAGACAGATCACAGTGATGAAGTGGTTATGATAACCAAATGGTATTTTGTAATTTATAGAATAATAGGTTTCAAAATACTAAATACAGTTATTACATTTGAGTTTGCCTCCAGGAAATGATTTAGTCATGGTTATATAAATTTCTACTTCAGAAGTTAGAGATTAAGAAACTTCAGGAAAAAAAAGAATGTGAGAAAAGGCACCTTGCAGGTTTGTATTTTGTGGTTAAGGGGGAAAATTTTCCATTAATTGTTAATGATATAGTTCATTAGGAGTATATTTCATTATGGAAGTGCAAATTATTAGACACTAATGATGCATGTCCTAATTGCAGTAGTTTGTCTTGATTTCAAGATAGATGAAATAAAAATATTTATTTCCGATGTTTCAGCTTCTATGAATTACATTAAATTCTTAACTGATGCTTTCAACAAACATGAAACAATGCATTACTAGTAACCAAGATTGATGTGTCTTTATTTGATGATCACTGCACAGATCATTAGATATCTATTTGCCTGGACTGTAAAGTACAACTGCCACTTGAGCTTTTGGGACTAAACACAGAGAAAAGTTGAAACCTGTCATGTAACAGCAGGTATTTATTACATTTCTGTTTTTTGTTTTTTTTTTCAAAGTGCTTCCACAAATTACCAAAATGAAGAAGACAAATTTAAGGGTTTTCTAGACAATCCCTTCTGCTGACTCCAGTTTCTGCCTGTGGAAGGCAGAACATTGCACACTGTCATTGTCATGGGATCAACATCGCACTTTTAGCAGGCCAAAAAAACAAACCATAGCCCAAAACCTCATGTCTGACGTGAGACAGGATCAGAGAGGAGTCTGCAAACCTTAAGATGTGTCTGTGTGCACCAGGAGTCACAGGCAAAAGGGTGAGAAATTCATGGAACTCAGCACTTTAAGAAGGACAACTTCCAGATCTTCAACCTCAAGGATTCAGTAAGAGACAGACAAAGAGAGAGAGATCCTCTGGCTTCCACAGTAAGTTTGGAGACCCCCTGGCTGCCCCCTCACCTTCAGGCCACTGCTTCTGAGAGCAAGAAGGGACAGGGAAGTGAGCACACTGGGGCAGGGAAGAAATAAATCATAGGATAACATGGAATGTCGTGCTCTTCCATTTCAGTTCACGTGTTCAGTCCCAGGGCCTGGGCTGTCTCAGAAAAAGCCAGATCACTTATTCTACACTGGAGGAGATGCCCCTTTCTGGGTCAGACAGCTGGGTGGGTGTGGATAACCCAAACCATGGAAGATGGACACAACTCCTCATGAAACCACTCCAACCCAGAGCAGACACTGAGGCCAAGAGGAACCATCAGATACACAGCTCCTGTAATTCACACTGAGGGAGAAACCATCCTATCAGAAACAATGAAAAAAAACCCAAAATGTTTTCCTGGCAACAGGCTGGTACCTCTGCTAGGCAAAAGGCAAGTTGCAACGAAAGGAAAAAGAAATACAACACCTGAATAAAACTGCTGTCCAAAGCTTGTCAGGCCCTTGACAACTTTTCCCATAATACACATAATAAAAAAAAAAAAACCCTTTGGGTTGGGCAATTTTAACAGTTGATGCCCACAGCAAAAAAAGTCAGAACTTGGTGTTTAGAAATAAGGTCCCAAAGTGCATTTTAACACACTTTAAACTGACATGTACCTAAGTGGAAGCACCTGGACATGTTCATTAAAGAGAACGCTCGGAACCTGCAGCCTGCAGGGCCCAGTTTCACAGCAGTGAGGGCCAGCTGATGTCAGAGATTTTAAATTACATGTACATCCTCAACACTTCCACAGACTCAGTTACTACTTGGCACAGAGAAACACTGCACAGATCTGGAATCCAGAACTGCATTCTAGCTCCAGATTTTCAGTAGAAATAGATTTTTAAACAGAACAGGTTACTCTCTGTAGTGAGAAAATGCTTTAAAGCTGGATTGACATTTACTTCTGACAATTGTTTTTTGTAATTGAAGGCTTCTGTGTGATGCCTTTATTTCTTACTTTTTATCATAAGTAAGGTGAAGAACACTACTAAAAATGCATTTTATATTAGTTCACAAAATAAAACTGGAAACATTTTTTTAATAAACCCTTTAAAAGAAAAAAAAAATCAGCATCAAAATACTATCTATAAAGGAAGAAAAAACAGTCCTTATCTTGCTGTCTTACAAATACTTAACATGGTATGTCAATATTATCATGAAAGACATAATAATTTTGTTAATAATGAAAATTAAGAACAGGAAGTGCAACTGCCTTTTAAACTGTTCATAGTATAATCAAATTAAGACTATAATTCCCTTCTGAACAAGCAGTTTTTCAAATTTCTAAAAGAAGTATATTTAGCAGAGTAAAAGTGTTTGTCTCCATAGAAGTTAAAATACAGCATTAGGAAAGTTATTGTTTGAAAACTTTATAGAACATACACACATAATTTCACAGGCTTTACCCAAAAATAATAAAAAAAAAATCAATCAAAGCAAAACCCACCTACTGGAGTTGCCTGACAAATTACATTAAAAGAAGGCACTTACTTTTCTGTCCTCAGTTTCTACACCAGAACTGGACTCTGCTTTAGTGTCCTGAAAACACAAACAGAGAATCCTGTGTCACAAAGCACACTGACCAGGGCTGGGGAAACAACTCAGCCTGAAGAAAGGGCATCAAACTCTGAAAAGCAGGTTTCTCAATCTATTACACTTTAATGACCTGTTATTTATATATATATAATACGCTTAAATATACAGTGGTTAGTATTATACCTTTAATTAATGTTTATTAAACTTTACTACATGCATAAACTTAAAGACAGGATTGAAAAAAACACAAAACCCCCAAACCTGTTTCAATATACTGTAGCAGCTCATAAGACAAAAATGTGATTTTATAGTATATGTTTTCTTTTTTACTTGCATTTTGAGGAAAATATATTGCTCACTCATTTCTTCTTTTTAAAAACTAGTGATGGAAGCTTAAAAAAATATAAAGGTGAGCTTAAGAAGAAAATCTGCTCAACCTTCTGCCTGTTGTTGAGTGCTAACTTGGACATGATAGATAGTTGTGTCTGAATCTTACTGCAAAATGTATGAATAATAAAACCTCTATTTGAGATAAACATGTGTATAACTGTGGGTATATATATATATATATAGACATTTTTACAAGTGTATATTTTGGACACGTTTTCTTCAGGAGTCAAACAAATAATCTTAAACCTAATGACACCCAACACATGGTCCTTTAATCCCTAAAATATTTTGACTTATTGAACCTTTGGGGTTTTGCCAGCAGACCTGAAGACATGTAGAGAAAACCATTATCACAAAAAATATAGTCTGAAAGGCATTTATTGCTTCATAGTCACCCTTTTTACAACAAGTTACTCCTGGAAGCTGAGTAAGCCAAAGAGAGTTCAAGTCATTAAACTGCAGACAAGTGACCTACTAATTCTCTTTTCAACTTTACTTCTCTGGTGAGGGTATTCTTGGAAGCAAACTTTGTTTATGTACAGCAACTTTAGAGATTTCTACTGAAAAAATAACATATTTTTTTGTTAAAACTAAGTACTTTCCCAAGCTCTCACTGAAGCTAGAACTACTCTGATCAGATTTTAGAACATTGCCACATAAATTCCAAGCTGCAAATTTAAACCTGATAGCAAATAGCAGCTCCTTTTAAAAAAATTAAAACAAATGTAAAATAAAGAATTTCTGTTTCTTAAAAAACATGCTTATTCATCTTAAATGAAGGACTGGTATTATTTCAATGCCAAAGAGTTCTTACCTAAGCCATACGAGATCAAAAAAAATAGATAATTCAATCAAGAGAGATGAATCAAGGCTTCCTGGACATACACTTCAATTTACAGCAAATGGTTTCATCAGGCACATCAAGTTGTGCCACTTCTTAAGCAGCAACAAAACCTTGGTTATTCAAATTAGCTTTATATATGAATCAGTACTTCTAATACTCTTTATATTCCAAATACTTTCCATGGGGAACCAGACTGTACTTGCTGTCAAGTGTGACTTCCTGGCAGCCAGACAGTCTCTCACCACATCTCTCCTCCCATGTGGTGGGGAAGGAGACACTCTCTCTGCCCACAGCTGACTTCCTGAGCCTGTTTGGGTATTTACACTCAGTTCTTTTTGGTGAGTGAGTGAGAAAAAAAAAAAAAACCTCAGCTTTTAAAAAGCTTTCTGCCTCGGGGGAATGAATTCCAACTTCATTAGCACCAGTGCTCTTCACCTGCTAGCGGTGCCCCAAGTCACCTTTTGGAAATAATGGAATGTTCTTTAACATATTTATTGGTTAATCAAAAATGAATCATATCTTTTCATATTACCAAGGACAAGAGTGGCTCTATCTCACACACTGACCTAAATTAAGTGAAGGCAGAATAAAGTAGCTCCTATCAGACTCTAGTCAGAGCTATTACAAACTCTCAGTATGATGAATATACCTTGTTCAAGACCTAACAGTGCTCCGATCCCTTCTGCTGTCTACAAAATGGTTTAGTTTGCTATTTTGCCACTGTCCATTCCCATCAAAAGCAACTTCCAAGAAACCCAAATTCATAAGCATTCATTACTCAATATGAATTAAAAATGCAGGTTTACCTGGATAAAACAGAAACCATCCTGCTCCCAGCACAGCTTATCTTACATGGCTGCAGGGAAAAGGCACAAATGAAGCCCTGCAGCCCAGCTGAGCACACTTGGGGCCAGCCCAGCTGAGCCTGCAATCAGGAATTAAAGGGACAAGAAGTCTGAAGTCAACTGATAATCTTTTCCATAAGGAAAAGTTTCAGGCTGAAAATCTAATGACACAATTTCTATTCTGTGTTTTATCCCTGAACGTTAGACAATCGTTTCATCCCGCAGCGTTTGGGTTTCTATCTAAAGATATGGGAAGTGAATCTTAAAAATTAATCACTGCATCATTAGCAATCAAAACTACATCTGTGTGGGTTCACTCTGACTGGGTGTTGAAGAGTTATCTCTGAAATTATGGCAAGTCAGATCTGGGTAAAGAAATAGCTGTATGTCTTCAAGAGTAGACACCTGGATTCAGACTTCTGGACAAGGACAATAAAAAACCACTAATTTGCTGTTATTTTATTGTTTCTGGTATTCCAAATATTAAATTGTTGCCTAACTAATTTTTGACAAACTTGCTTTGGGTACATTATCAGATAATAACCTGGACTATAACATCCATTTAATACCTAATACCATACAAAGCCTGACTTCCTGGATGGGATTTTTCTTTTGCAAGGGGTAAAATTCTCACAAAGGCACTTACTCAAATGAAGAATAACTAAAGACACTGACACATTACCTAAATGAGAATTCAAGAATCCTTAGTTCAAAGGGGTGAAGTCATCTGTGAGCAGTTAAAAATTTGAACAGTAAAAATTTGTGCAGTCGGTGAAGAAGAAATAATGGGAGGTGATCAATTAATCTCTTCTAAAATCAGTAATTTGCAATTTTTTTAGCTGAATAATGAAGTGTAATTTGCAACCAATTCATATATAAAAACAATAGTAATAGTTGATCACTTCTGCAGAAACAGTTACAGGAGTTGCTGTGTATCTGATGTCTGTGAGGAAGTCAAAGCAGGCAGCTTTTTTATGAACTGTAACTGAACTCTCACAGAATTTATCTGAGTGACAAGAATGTTCCATGTTAGGCACATGCACATCTTCACCTTAAGTTGCCCAAGCAACACAAACTAATTTTTCTAAAGCAATTAGTGTTGTAGTTCTTTAAACCAGTGAAGCTGCTGACTTAATCAGATCTATGTTTAAATATCAATATTTGAATATACATCTACATACCTCTTTAAAAAAGAAATGTACACAGACAGACCCTAAGCTTTAAAAATCATCAAAAAGAATCGTCTGTCAATCCCAGAGCAAGAAGGGAGGAAATGAGAATATTCTCTGGGAGACATCTGTGCTGCTTTCTCAAAGTGCAAAATGACAAAGCAATGTCACTTCACTCCCAACTCTGTGAATTATTTGAGACTGAGAAGCACCATTGCTGTAAAGAAAGTGTAAAATCCTAGAGATTTGAACAATACATCAGGCACTTTCTTTATTGTCGTTACATTACAAAAAAAAAAAAAAAAGAAGTAAAACCCCAGCAAAATCTGTTCCTCCTGAAGCATTATTACTTTAGACAAATTATATAATGATAGAGTACTTCACTGGATGTTTCAGGAGAGAATAAATTATAGAAATACCCTGCCACTAAGGTAGAAAACCCTCTCATCCATTTCAGTTTAAAATCAACACAAATCTGCTTTTGTTTGTGTTTAGTGTCACTGCATAATAGTCAAATCACATTATTACAAACATATTAGGAGCTGTATTTTTAACATATAATTATAAAAGAAAACTCACTTTTTCTTCTGTTGTGTTGGGTAGCAGCAACAGGGAAACGAAGCAAAATTTTATGGAGCAGTGCAGGACAAACACAACTTTCTTTAAGAGCTGACCAAAGTGCCATAAAGGGAACTGCCACACAGATTTCCCACTAGAATTGCACTAATTTCAGTGCTGAAACAATGCTCACCTCTGTATTTGCTGGCACCTATTTCTAAAAGGCAGCCTTTAATGTTCCTCCTGAAATTTAGTCACCTTGGTGATCAATAAGTTTATGGTTTATTGAGTTCTGTGCTCACCAGATGGAAAAGTGAGGTCAATAGGTACAATTCTTTCCGTGCTGGTTTGGAAACAACTAATGGCTTAGATAACATTAATATCTACTGTCAGTGCCCAGTACAGAACACATCAGACACGACACCCATTTTATTCCTGAGCATGTTCCCTTTTCTCATCCCAGTTTTGCTCTGTTTGATCTTCCATGTGTTTCAGGCACTTTTGAATTTTAACACACCAGGCCCTCGGAAACGTATCCAACCCCTTCACTCAGCAGTGGCATTACACAAATAATGGGAAATAAAAAGAGAGGGAAATAAAAGCTCTAGAAAGCAAAAGCAATTCTTGGCAGTAGCATGACCCTGCATGGCATTTGGCTTTAGGACACAGTAGAAACCTCCATACACTCTTTTACATAGTTTCTATAATTTGACATTGAATTTTACTGCTTGAATTGCAAGCAGAAACAGTGAAATCAATATCCCCAAGTAGCCATTAGTCATGCTAACATGACTAATACCCACACTGCCTGTGTACTTTATCATATTTTACAGCTTGTTCTCTCCCTGCTATCCCAAACTTATTTCCTCTGCTTCCCTATCAGCATAAAACAAGATACCAGAAACTAATCAACCAAAATAACCCTAAGAAATAAGAAAGTTACTTTAAAAAGTTACTTGAATTTCCAACATCTTTTCTCTTCCGTGTGAAGGTGAGGTAAACAGAATTCCTGTGCACACACACACACACTGCTCCTGGATCAGAGGGAGGAAAGATGAGCCTCTGGAATTCCAGTTATTCCAGTGTTCCCTCCGTTGGGTTTGTAATATCAGGGATGGTCAGTAGGTGGAAGCAAATAACCTTGTAAAATCCTGCTCAACTTCCCGGGGAAGACAAACCTATTGCACTGCCCAGGCT